GGCCATATCCTTGAAAGATGAGACCCGAGCTCCAGGATGGCTAAAACTGCGCTTCATGTCCGCAAGAGACTTCGAGGGGGGGGGGGGGGCTGAGAGGATAACCACTCTAAAAGTTAAAAGCTGAGTCAAAAAGAATGTACAAGCGAGAGTAAATAATATTACCAGGCAGCTCACGTTGGAGCACGTCCTTAGATCCGCTGGGAGTTGGGTTTGCGAGAGCTCCCTTTTTCGAGCTGGTCTCAGCTCTCTTTTCCGCTTCACTCGTCGTATGAGGACGGGAAATCTCTCGGGACGAAGGAGTTGAATCCAGTGCTTTCCTCTTCTTGGAAGCCCTATTGGTCTCTTTCCCATCCTTAGCACTCATAATGGTGGGGGATTCAGCGCTTACGTCTCCCGAGGCCGAGGTCGTGTCAGGGATAACTATCACTTCGCATTTCCCGGCGTCAGAAAGGGCGACCGAACTAGAGCTTTTTTCTTTCCCCGGGATCTTGGATTTACCTTCAGCAAGGGTAGCGGCAATCTATTTTTCAGCTCCTTCTCGCGAAGTTCTGCCTGCTTCTTGCAAGCTCTCTCTTCTCGGTAGTTCATGTTGCGAGGAAGAGCAGGTAGAGGTGAGCTGGTGACAAGAGAGATGTTGCGAATACGAGCTCAGGATTCCTGGATTCTCTTGTTTGAAAAGGAGTCCCAAGCGATCTGACCACTACAGAAACTAATGAAGCAGTTCGCTAAGGTGTTAGATAGGGAGCCACACTCTAGAGATGCTGAGAAATATGCAAAACGAAGTAAACAACACCCGAGTTAAAGTTCGACAATGATAAGCGAAGCAACAAAAATTAAAATAGTTCGATTTCCCTCTATAGTTCTACAAAATTTTCAGGACCACTGAGGAATAAATAAGTCCTGCAGTTTGCCAAAGGTGGAGTCGTCGACAGGGAAGAAGAAGTAACCACTTCGCCAGTTGTCGTCCTTTTCAGGAAGGTTCTCAAAAACCCGGAGCCCGGTCAGCAGGCTGAGATAAATGGTTCCTCTGGTCCTACCCTCCTTTATCGTGTACAGATGGAGGATATCCTGAAACGTGAGGAGGTAGCCATGAACCTCCGCTAGGGTTTGGAGGCGGAGAACTGTTCGGACAAAGTTAGAGCACAGTTGGGGGAGTGAAACGCCCAAGGAGTACATCGCCTTGACCAAAAGCTCCACTAGCGGGAAACAGAGCCTGCACAGCAGTGCCCTTTGGGAGGATATCATAGGCACAACAATGCCCTTCCGGAGGATCTTCCGGCGATTGGTCACCGTTTGGAGCTAGAATTGTGGTTCTAGAAGGTAGGCCGCAGAGGAATCGAACGCTAACCAGTTTGTCCTCCCTAATCATCGACGGACGATGAGGACCGAACTGATGGTGGAAGACAAAGGGCCAACGAGTACCTATCTCGGCGATGGAAGAAGTTGCAGAGAGTAGGATAAAGAAGTCGGCGAGAGCAAGGAATAATAACAAAGTAGGTCAAAGAGAAGAAGTCGAGTGTTGGAGTATCGTACCTTTTGTAGACGCCTTGACCGTTGCAGCGTAATGATGGCCTAGAGAAGCTAAAAGGTCACCACCTTTATAGCTCAGGTGAAGGGACATCAATGCGGTAAACAAGGGGCAAGGTAAGCCGAAAAGGCAACCGCGAATCGAGGTGAATCATGAGGATTCGAAGATCTTAGTTCCCAAAATCGATGCAGCATTAAAGTCTTCCAAACTGAAATCACTTCGCAAGACTGGGGGGCTAACTGTGGGCACCAGAATAAGCACTTTGATGCTAATTGGGCCTACGAAGCCCATGGCCCAGTTTAAGAGGCCTCGATTCGAACAGAGAACTCGGAGAAGGAGCATTTAAGAACGAGATTGTAATGGCCGAACTGAAGGTCAACACAGTTAATGTAGAGCGCAGAATTCCCGTAGAGTAGATCGCGCGGTCTATTAAATGTAGTTATACCTCTATATATATAAAAAAGTTCATTTGTATGGGGGGAGGAAAGAATTGAGATATTAATACAAACGAGAACTATTTTCACAAAGAGCAGTGTTTCCTATTTAGTATTCAGTTTGAGTTCGAAACGACGAATAAGTTCCCACCCAATCACACTCTAGTTCCTCAGGTGGATTCAGCTCCCATAAGTTTTATTAGCCAAAACAGTGAGCTAAATCTTAGGTAAAGGCTTTCACTTTTACTTGCTTTGTCATTATTTTTCTTATACCATTTTTTTGTTGTGCATATGTGTACAAGCACAATACATTAGACGCAGAAGTACGTATGTTATATTTTGTCTTCTTTTCTCCATATGTTTGCATATTTGTTTTCATTCATTTGAAGATTTCATACTTGAACATTTCTAAATTGTATTAGAAACTTACATTAACTGAAAGATGGCTCACTATGACTACTTGTTTTGCTTTCTGATTACTCATGGAGTCATTCATATCTTGCAATTTCTCATATAAACGTTGATTGAATTAAGATTGTCGAAAATTCAGGAAGCATTGTTGAAAAACTCCTTGACATTCAGGAATGATTACACGACATTGATGATGACATTCATTCGTAGACATTTGTGATGTTTGTGAAACCTATTTAGACTGTTTTGGTACTTGTATGATGTTTTTGCAATATAAAAGTGTCACAAGTTTCTTTTAGACAAGGAAATAGTGGTAGTTGTAACTATGATTGAGTTTGCTACATGTTCTCTTTAATTTCAAAGACTTATTGAAAATTCAGAAAAGCTTTCAGTGCAAACATATGAAGAAAGGTTGGAATTTTTGATACATTGGTAAAACAACAGGATGTGTGCACAAAAATGAATCATTACCCCTTAGTAATGGAGTAATATATGACACATTGATGGAGTATTTTCTTAAAAAAGATTAAGAAACACATTTATAGAATTCAGGAAGGATTTCACGAACTTGAGGAAGGATTCCACGAACATTAGGATGGTCTTCACAAAACGTCTGAACTTGACAATCATTCTGCATATACACTGGTAAAGAACCTCATGCTATCTTCTTCATCCTTAGAGAAAGTTGACAACTAAGTTTAATAGCATTAACAAAACAATCCAGTTTGAAAACTTTAATCACCATCTTTGCTAAAACCTTATACATGATATTATCATCAACTTCACAAAGATATCCTCCATTGTTCCAATCGATTACAAAATCTCATGATCCATTATAACTTTGTTTTCACTCCCTCGCAAGCTAGGTATAATTCAATTATACGTACAAGATTCAACAACCAAAGCTTGAGATACACAAATGCAATCTTACCATATCTCTACATTCGTTAAACACTAATCAAAATGTGAAATCACCTTCTAAATTTGGATGTGCAACGTTTATTCCACCAAGCTAGTTCATTCTCCATCAAAGCAACATCTAATTCCGATTGAACATAGTTGATTCACTACACCCAACACCAATCAAAGTAAAAACGGTTAAGCACAATCGATTCAAAACTCTGAACTCTCATCAAAGCAAAACCGATTAAGGAGAACCCATTCACTACTATAAACACTAATCAAAGAATAATTGATTCACTGCTCGAAATACTAATCAAAACAAAAACGATTCGATTCACTACTTCGAACACTAATCAAAACAAAATTGATTCACTACTCAAAGGAAGATAGAGAGGAACGACACGAACAAATGGAGACGAACGATAGCGTAGAAAATCAGAGAGAAACGACGACGAAGAGAAGCGAAATTATTAGAACTCGCCGGAGACGATGGAGATTGTGACTTCGACAATGACGGAGAATTTCGCGGGCGATGATAAACGTCAGTGACGACAAAGAGTGAATCGCAAAAGCTACCAACATCTTTGAGTTTGTATTTATGGTACTGTATATATTATCCTAGAGTATTTCTCAATTAAAATCATAATTTGCAATGTTCTAATTTGTATCTTCTAATATTATAAAGACTAGGATATACCCCGTGGTATACCACGGGTCTATAACTTGATATATTTGTTTGGTTGATCATTTTCGTAGTTGGTATATATAGTCTAGTTTTATAAGTGTGTCTTTTATTTTAATTTTATATAATTTTTTAAATTTATATTATGAGTAGATTCATATATATATGTGGTCAACCCGCGATACACCGCGAGACAATTTTGTTGTAAATAAAAAATTATATTTTAACTTAACCCGTAAAAAATTTGAAATATAGACAATCCGTAATAAAAATATAATCATATTTATGTATACTCAAACCCGTTCAATCATATTTACGTACAATTTTATTATATTTTTAGAGTTCAAATATTAATAATACTTTAAAATTTTGTAGAGTTCAATTTTAATATTTTAAATATTCTATAAAACTTAAATTAATTTCAGCTTTTAAAAGTTTTAATATTATAATATTTCTCTTAAATAAGGAACCATATTAAACTGAATAATTTTTTTAATTTGGATACCTGAGAAATCAAAGTTCATGCTCATTTATAGTGGTGAACATATTAGTCGTATTTACAATGGTTTAAACTATAATCTAAAATTTTATACTTTATGTAGACGTTGTACATATATTTTTTCCTTTATCGATTGAGTTATATATATGCGTCCGTTTTCTAAAATTTAAATTGCAAAATGTGTGGAAAAAAATGTGTATTTTTATTATAAATTTATTTTATGTAATAATATAAATTAAAAACAAATAAGATTATATAAATATATTGGAGAGAGATTCGATTTATTAAAGAGAGAGTTTAGAAAATTTTTTGATGTAATAAATATTTGTTTCCATTTTTGCGATTTGCTTGTGAGTTAATTACAAAATTTACTTTTAAGTTTTGTTATTTATTCAAATATCAAGTGTTTGATTATGTAAATAATACAAAATAAAAGGTTATAATCCAAATAAGATTTTAGTACAAAATGTATTTCAAAAATGTTAAGATATATGTAAGTACTAACCGAAAAAAAAAAAAAAATTGGCGTATTAATTTCCCGCGCAAATCCACCTTTACCTTTCTCCTCCGCCGACGGACGAGTCAATGGTGGAAATGGAATCGCCGACACAGACGGCGGAGCAAATAGAGTCAATGACTGAGTTTCTCGTGAAACACTATTCCGATCAGCTCCGTGACATCTCTCTATCTCCAGATCCCAAACTTCACTACCCTCTCTTCATCGAGTACGCTTCACTTCTCCTCTTTTCTCTTTCCATGATTCTTCTTTCACCTCTCTCACACACAATATCTTCAGATTCGCAGAACTTGTTGACGATGATCCATCTCTATCGCGTCTTGTATTCTCCAATCCTGAACAGTATCTTCGTCAATTCGACGAATCAGCCATTTTAGCTCACGTATGTGTTCGATTCGATTTTTGATTTTGCTTTCTGGATTCGTAGTTTTTGATTCTGTTAACTCTTGTAAGGAATCGAATTTTTCAGAAAATTGCGTTGGAGCATATGAAGAAATTTGAGAACAAGATTGGGATTGAGAAGAGGTTTATACATGTTCGTATTGATACTAGTGGATCTCCTCTAGAACGAAGCTCTGGTTTGTGTGTGTGTGTGACTTTTTCACATGATTTTTTTGTAAATTTTATGGACTTTGTTCTGAATTTTTCGATTTTGGCTACAGAGACTTTCCCAAGTATTGGCCGAGTTAGAGTAAAGCACCGTGGGATTCTTATGATGTTGAAAGGCACGGTGATTAGGTCTGGGGCTGTGAAAATGTATGAAGGTGAAAGGATGTATCGATGCCGTAAATGCAAGTTCACGTATGTTGTTTCTTCTTTGTTTTGTGATTGAAACTTTATATGCATTTGACACCACCTCTTGTTCTCTGTTGTATGGATGATTGAGTTGGTTCCTTATTGTAGGTTTCCTATTTTCCCTGAGTTGGAATCGATAAACTCGATTGTGAAACCGCCCTTTTGTCCTTCTCAGGTTTGTCATATTGATATCTGTCTTTTGTTATGCGAAAACATTCGTCTCTGAAGTTTCTTCCTAGCTTTCATATTCTTTAAATCAACTCATCTTATAGCACTGTCAAATCTTTTTAACTGTGAGTGACAGCGGTCAAAATCTTGTGAAGGCACAAACTTTGATCCTGTAGATGATACAGTAACACGCCATGATTATCAAGAGATCAAGATCCAAGAAAATACGCAGGTTCTAGGTGTTGGGGTTATCCCAAGATCCATTCTAGTTGTACTGAAAGATGACCTTGTTGACAATGTTAAAGCTGGAGGTACAACACTATGACTTTTGTTTGTTTTTATTTTATTCTATCCATAATTGCATCACTATTATAGCTATAATTCATAGCCTCAGTGTAACCATTCTAAAGGTACCAACTTAACTGTTCCGCCTTCTGATACTGGCTTTTTTAAGTAAGATATATATTATTTTCTTTTGATGCAGATGATGTTGTTGTCTCTGGAATCTTGACTTCAAAATGGTCTCATGACTTAAAAGACGTTCGCTGCGACCTTGAACCTATGTTGATTGGCAATCATGTCAGGTAAATGGCTTGGAAAATGTGATAAAGCAACCCGTTTTAATCAATTTTATCAAGGAAATCTTTACTCTTAATTGTTGAAATATGGCACTTGTTTGTTTGCCTCAGACAGTTATTGAAGATGGTTAAACGATTAAGTAGCTCTTAGTACTCCTTAAAGCAATTTCCTGAAGAGTTATTTTGGGTCCTGATGAGATTATATTGTCTCATAGTCTGAGTTACTAGAAGGCATTAGAATTACAGTTATTAACACAATTTCTACCCCCTATTTACATGTTATCCCTGCCACTCTCCAGAAGAACTAATGAACTTAAATCAGAAATTGATATACCTGATGAACTGATCGAGAAGTTTAAGAACTTTTGGAGCCACTTCAAAGATACCCCTTTAAAAGGTAAAAACTAACTATTACTTGGAAATCATTCTGCCTTTTTTTCTTGCAATTATTTTGAACAACTATTCTCTTGCTATCTATTTCGATCTTATTATCCAAATACGATATGGGTATTCTAATGTAAAGTTTGGGCTAAATTCTTTAATATTTGATTAAGTCAGGGAGAAATGCTATCTTACGAGGTATCTGCCCCCAAGTCTTTGGACTTTTTACTGTTAAGCTTGCAGGTATGCTTTATGCATACTTTTTTTTTGCCAACATTTTTTCTTATTGAATTGTCTAAAACGATTATGGTGTGTGTGCATGTTGTTAATATGCAGTTGCCTTAACACTCATTGGAGGTGTGCAGCATGTTGATGCTTCTGGTACAAAAATTCGGGGAGAATCTCACTTGCTTCTTATTGGTGATCCAGGTTATTCTCAACCACTGAGTATATTTTTCTTATGTACATGCATGCCCCTAAATTTTGGTGGAGTTCCAAAGTTTTCGTCTGAACTAAATTGATTTGGAACTTGAGTACCTTACATGAGTTTCGGAAAAAAACTAGAAGGTCTTGTGTAATTGTTTGTTACCAGTTGATTGAACTCTGTATGGAAGTTTACTTTCATTTGGACCTGCCTTTTATGATGTTAATATCTGCCAGGCACTGGAAAATCTCAGTTCTTAAAGTTCGCTGCAAAACTGAGCAACAGAGCTGTGATCACAACGGGACTAGGAAGCACAAGTGCTGGATTGACTGTAACTGCAGTGAAGGATGGAGGTAAGCACTCAATCTTTTGCCTACTTCTTGTGTTGGTTCTTAGTCTTATTAATTTGTTTGTAGGAGAGTGGATGCTGGAAGCTGGGGCCCTTGTTCTTGCAGATGGTGGACTTTGCTGTATTGATGAGTTTGATAGGTAGTCTCCAGGTGACAGAGGGGAGAAAAGTTTATTATAAGAATAATTTGCATTAGTCTGTAGTGTTATCTGCTTGAAAAGTTTGATCTTCGATGAACTTGATGTGTTCTTGTGGTCTTGTGAATCATTAGGCTCTTTTCACAGATAAGAAGCAGTCGCTAGTAGAAACTGTTCAGCTTTAAATGACAAAACATTTTAGGATTTTTACTTGGGAGACTTACAAACTGCTAAAGCGTTTTTTTTCTTCCTGGAAGCATGAGAGAGCATGACAGAGCAACCATACATGAAGCAATGGAGCAACAAAGTATTAGCGTTGCCAAGGTAAACTACTCTATTTCATTTATTGTCATTCTCTAGTTACAGCATCAGGTCCATTATTCAAGCTGTACAACAGAATCAGTTTATGTCTTTACTGTGTCTTAAGTTTTTTTTTTTGTTAATTTGAAGGCTGGCCTTGTAACGACTCTTAGCACAAAGACAATCGTCTTTGGTGCTACAAATCCTAAAGGACAATATGATCCTGATCAGTGTATCCACTTCAGATATAATAGACTTCAAAGTTCAGACATGTTTTGGCTTACATACATTCATACTGTTTTCAAATTCAAGTTAGTGATATCAGTTTTTAAAATGGATACTTTTTCTTCCCCAAATCATCAGTCAAGCATTCCTTTTTCTCCCTCTGCATTTGAATTTATTTGGTGTACTTATTTTGATATTTTTTCTTGAGAAATTTCTTAACTGAATCTAGCTCTTTCTGTCAATACTGCACTTTCCGGTCCCTTGCTCAGCAGATTTGATATTGTGCTTGTTCTCTTAGATACAAAAAATCCCGAATGGGATGCAGTTGTATCCTCTCACATCCTTGCCGAGGTATGTTCCCTTAAAGAATCTTTATTGTGTTACGTACAGACTCTTATTAAGCAGAGTTTATGTTTGTGACAAAAAATATAACTTTTTATCTTTCAATAATTTGCTGACATCAATCCAGGTTCAAATGGAGGAAGATAAATATGTAGATGATCTGACAATTATGTGGCCACTACCGGTACTTCAAAGGTTATCATGTGTATACATAGATCATGGAATCAATCATCTCTAGAAGAGTTACAATTGTTTCTTGTGCAAAAGTCCGAGATGACAAATACATTTGATCTTAGCTGATAATACATATTCATGGTTGCTAATTGCTATTGTATTTTTATATCCCGACCTATGCAGATACATTCAGTTTGTGAAAAAAACCTTCAGGCCTTTCCTATCAAAGGAAGCAGAAGAAATTATTTCAAGTTATTATCGACTCCAACGAAGATCATCAACACAAAATGCAGGTACTTCCTGAGCAATATTTTTCTTGGTTCCGCATATGCTAATTTTGTATTAACATGGGGTGTGGGAAGCTGAAGATCGCAGTGTCCAGCTTTGAATCCTCTATTCATGGCTGAGACTTTTTTTCCTTGTTTATATAGAAAATTCCTCTACAAATACATTCATATTGGAGAAAGCCAAAATATAAATGGATCAATTTCAGATTAAAATATTAGCAGGCTGGAGAGCGTTTCTGTAGTCTTGTCTAGAAAATCTCACGATAGAATTCAAAGATGGGGTGATATCTTTCTTGTAATTTGTTTATACTCTGAACTGCAGCTAGAACAACCGTGCGGATGCTGGAAAGCTTAATCCGTCTGGCTCAAGGTACCACTTCGGTTATACTCATAATCAATCAAATTGCAACAAAATCAGAAAAAAAAGATATTGATGATATATTGGTGTCACAGCTCATGCAAGGCTTATGTTCAGAAATGAGGTCACACGATTAGATGCAATAACAGCAATCTTGTGCATTGAATCATCGATGACCATTTCAGCCATCGTAGACAGTATGGGGAATGCACTACACTCTAATTTCTCCGAAGAACCAGATCATGAATGTATCCTTTTTGCAAGCTTACTTAACTTCGATTCCTACTGAACTGATGCATTGTCACTTAAAATTTTGTATTTGTATTCCCTAACATAAAGCGATAAACAGATGCAAAGCAAGAGAAGATCATCTTTGAAAAGCTAAGAGGAGACGACATCTATTAGCATCTGGCTTCGGTAAGTAGTGTCCTGTAGAGAGAGAGATAGGTTTGTTCTTTGTAGTAACCTCCTTCACATATCTCCTGCAAGTTTCTTATATGTATAGAGTGCGTTCTCTGTGATTTGGTAGGTTTGCAGACAAATTCTAAATATTTTCGTCCTCAGTCAAATATAGTCATATTTTTCGATCTTGTTGATATCGAAGGAACCTTCCTTGAAGATAACTTCCATCAACTCTTCTTCGCTTGGATTGTAGAATTGTTTGTTGAAACGATTCCATCTCTTGTTTCTTCACAAACCCCTACAGTCACAGTCTCCTAACAATGCATTACTTGGTACGTAGAGGAATGCTTAAATATATAAAAAGAAAAAGATGGTTGAGTATGTACAACGAGGAAACAATATTTGGATAAAGTGTTGGAAAAAACTGTTCTTGAACTAATGCAGATAAAAATTGTTAATTAGAATAATATTAACTAGTCTTTTATAATAAATTTACATTTCAGACAAACCATCATAGCATAATCTCTATTGATATAAAAATTATAAATCAAACATTATTCCGCGGGGTATTGCGAGTTAAATCTTAGAGATCCAATTTGGACATTATTATCATTTTTTTTTGGCTTCAAAATTGCTTAATTTATGATAAAAATAACAAATCTCTCATCCATACAAAACAATGAACTCTACTTATTTCTCATCCCACCAATTCACCACATACAAAATAAATGACCTTTATTTCCTAATCAACGAAACTACGAGGACGAGTGTCATATTAGGGCGATGCTTTGTAACACTTAGATACTTAGCCATATAATGTGCGTACTTGTCGAACACAGGTTCAATAATTGCATCACCAAAATGAGCAACAAGCAATGGTTCGGTAATGCATCTTGCCCAACTTGCATGGTTTATACTAGCTTCCATGTGAACTGATTGGTCCTGATCATTCTCTTCTTCATATTCAATCTTGTACGGGACAATATGATCAAATTTCTCAATCTTGTTGATCTCGAAGGAGCCTTCCTTGAAGATAACTTCCATAACCTCTTCTTCACTTGGATTGTAGAATGGCATGTTAAATGATTCTATCTCTGATTTCTTCACAAAACCCTACACTCACATTCTCTTAATAATGTATGACATGGTAAAACTTCTATAAATTAATAATGTTAGGACTACGGCATTTTATTAATTCATATAGTGATTATTAAGTTATGATGGTATTATTGGGACTAAATTTTACGTACACGAGTATTTTAAAAAATTATTATCTTTATCGAATTTTGTTAATTTTTACACTTGTCTGACTTGAGTTGAGACCTACATAATTTATTACCCCCTCTGTTTCATTATAAGTGATGTTTAAGGTTTTGGCACACTAAATATTAAAACATATAACTTACCCATTTTCCATAAAAACATCCTTAACTAATATGAATTCAACCAATAAAAAAATATAATGTAAAATATAATTGGTCAAAAAATATTAAATACATTAAATTTTTGCATAGGAAATTGAAAACATCACTTATACCAAAACAAAAAAAAATTGGCTAAAACATCACTTATAATGAAACAGAGAGAGTAATATATATTGTTAATTAATTTATAGAATATTAATTTATAGATGTTTTATTTTACTTGGTACTTAGAGGAATGCTTAAAAATATAAAGAAAATATGGTTAGATATTGAGTATTTACCTCGGAGGCTAGATCGAGGAGACAATCTGATAACAACGACCAAACTTGGAAACAATCTTTGGACAAAGTATTGGAAGCCTTTCTGCCTACGAACGTGAGAACCATACGTCCATTTTGCACCATCTCTTCCGAACGCATTTTTAGGAAATCCGAAAAATCGTTCTTGAACTGATTCAAATAACTCTTGTAAACATTTGGAGTATATGGATGCTTAATATGAATGCTTTTAGTGTTGCTCTCAAGGCTATCTGGAATCTTGGAAAGCCAATGGATACTAAAAGCTGAATGAACAAAATGTAGAGATTTTCTTGGGAACAACCTCGAGTAAAAAGAACCGGGGACTCCGGAGACAAAACACTTCCCTTTAGCTTCTGTTTTGATCAGCTTCTCTAGGAAAGAAGGAACAATCTTGAAGGTTGTATTGAAATCGTTCTCTAGAAGATCGTTCAAACAACAATCTATTTCTGGTGGGTTTTTTATACCCATTTGTTGGTACGACTCAATGATGGAGTTGGCGATTGCGGACATGGCCAACATTGTGTTTTGTCCAGTAGAACAACCCAAGTCTGTCACTTTGATGCAATCAGGAAAACCAATTTTCTCTAGCATTTCTCTTATGTTCATTGTCACTACATGTTGTGTCTCATAGATAACACTTCTCTGTACAAAAACCCCAAAAGTATTATACTCATAGACCACTTTTTTCGACGGAAATGGTGGTCGGAAATTGCTATGTTTTCTTGTAGTGAAATTAGGTTAAAATATGACTAAAGGATATAGAGAAAAGAATAACTAATTTCATAGTTCTTATAACGAAACATCAAAGTTCGTCATAGAGTGTTTATATAAAGTACCTGATAATGTGAATTAGTAGCGTAACTGTGTTCTCCTGTTCCTCCATTCATACTAAGAACGTCCACGAGAGAGTAGTCCCTAACGTATACACACAATGAAACTTTATTTAATCAGTTTAACAAGAAATGAATTATTATCCCAAATGAATCATTACCTTGTCATTATATTAAAGATGTGGTTTGTTCGTGATGGTAGGATGCTCGGGAGTGTCGCTCACACCAGTTGTAGATGTCGATCGATATTACTCATCAGTTGGGTTTTGGGTTTTCGGAAGCTAGCGTCGACCAACACCAGGCGGGAGGTAATGAGGAGTCATGATGCTCACAATATGTTTTTGTATTGTATCAAGTTTCTTCACAAATCTCTATATAATATGGAACTTGAACTAGCTGGGATAATATATTATATATGTCACATGCCCAATAGCCACATGCATGCATCAAGCATATACATTATGTGTAAGATTAGAAGATATGGCCTTAAACTATAGCTTAAGAATCTGAATCATTTTTATTTCTGTTTGATATGAGTTCTCGAAACGAGAGCACTGTCACGTACTCACATGCTTAAAGCCACTTGCATCAAGCAGCACCACACAGATATAATTTTCTTACACTTTGCATAATGTAACAGTATCTATTTTGATTCTACAACTACAACAGCTGAATATAAAAGTTAAAATGGCAAACAGGATAACATAATATAGGAAATTAAAAAGTAATTATTTTGAATTAGAAGATATATACAATTAATTGCCGTGGGATACTTGATACTTCAGCATTATCATCAATCAGAGTGGTTAAGCAATTATATGTTCTAACGTAACGGAAATTTTAAAATCCAAATAGTATATTTTTCTTCTTGTATTACCAAACATAAAAATAAATAAATAACATTTGTGGATTTTAATATACAATAATACAATTACCAAATTCTTTTATTTTCATTTTTGACGAAAATTTAACTATCATTCTTCCTATTGAAAAAAATATTTCTTTTTCCCGCTTACATCAAACTAAATTTTAATCCGCAGTACACCGCGGGATAGACAATTTCTTTTCAATTCATGTTTTAAAAGATTTAAATATTTTGTTGGAGTTTTGTTTGATAATTATTAAGATTGCATAATATTAATTTTTACTAAATCAGTTTAATCATACATGTTTTATATCGGTGTAGTTAAAAAAGTAGTAAAATGATCCGTATTGAACTCTGAGATTAATAATATTATCATTTTTAAGTAATATCAACTCAAACCCGTTCCATCTTACAACCCGTCCTATCATATAATCTTTTGGAATCATGAAAAGACCCAACCCGTTTTTTCTTTTTTATCATGCAAGCCGGATTAACCCAAATAATGCAAATAAGCTAAACCTGCTAAACCGGAGTAAATCAATTTAAACCATCTAAACTGGTCCTAGTCAATATAAACCATTCAATTCCAATTTTAACCGATTAACCAACAATTCCAATTCAACCAAACCATATAACAATAACCAGCAAAAGACTTAACTCAAAATCCAAATAAAACAAATGCATTAAACCAGCAAGTAATTCAATATCTAAACAAGTAATCATCTAGAAATAGAATAACATCCTAACATGTTTCTAAATTCCAGAACTAAAAATCTCCTAAACAATTCTAGCAATTATACAGAACAATCAGCGAACCCCTAGATCATTCTTCTCTCCTCGCCATGATTCCACGATCACACTGTTTCTTTACCTGCATCACAAAAAGAGATGCATAAGTAATTTCATAAATACTTAGTGAGGCATTCATTCCCACAACTAGCTATACACACAAGCAGCATAATTCACATTCAAGCAATAACCAACAATCATAAAATGACAATAAAAATAACCACATAATCTGGCATGACGAGTAGTGTCGATTGACACTCGCCACTGATGTCGATCGACACTCGTGACCATTCTTGCATACAGACAATTGGTGTCGATCGACACTCACCATTGGTGTCGATCAACACCAATGCCCTAACATCATTCAAGTCGCTTCTCATCAACGGACCTACTTCTCCAATCAATTCATGGCCGAATAGATACTCCACAAGACTCGTCCAGAGACACCAAAACACAAGAAACATGCATAAAAACAAAGAAAATCAATCAACAACCATAGAAATCACAAGAACATGAATCAAACAGCTTAGAAAAGCCTAGGTCCTGCAGTCATCTCTTAAAAAAGAAATAACAGCAACGAACAGGGGCTACTAGGGATGAAAACAAACTCCTTAGACACCAAACACAACGGATAACCACCAAGAAACAGCCTCAAACCTCTTTCAAACCTCACAAAACCTCACTGGAGAACTTAGAAACTTTTAGAGCTTTTGAGAAAACAAATAAAAGTCAAAACCTAGATTAAACCAATCTCTAACCACTCTATTTCGCAATTAAAAACAAACCACACCAAGGAAGAGTGTTGATAGACACCACCCATTTTCGAACACGGGTTTTACAAATCATATTACAAAATAGGATAATTAGATCTTGAACTTTGGTTTCGAGGGAATTAGGTTTAGAACTTTTATTTAGGGGGGAAATAGGATTCGAACTTTTTCCGAGGATATCTACATCGAAATCAAAGTTCGGGCTCTATCGATACGTTAGTTCTCAGAAGGAAATATATCGTTTTCCAATAGATACAGTGATATTTGAATGCGAATGGGCTTTGTTATGGTTTAGGCCACACTTGGAGTTTTAGAATTGTTTGGTGGAATGTTTTTTTAAATAATTATAATTAATGCTAATGGCATAACCTTGTAAATAATTCTGAACTCCAAAGATTTTTTTCCATTATTGCTGCAAAAATGTTAATATAGATGAAAAAAAACTAAGTTAAAATGTATATTTATGTGTACATTATATATAAATTATATCTTACTGTTTTCCAAAAAAAAAAAATTTATATATCATAGTGGTTTGTGCTATTTATTCAACCTCATATAATATAGGTCGGAGAAAAAGAAAAGAGATGATAAAATATTATCTCTTACAATATGAAAGAGGGTGAAGATTAAATTTGTTGTATCTAATAATTTTGATTATTTGGACCCAAAGAAAAAAAAAAGTAGTCCAGTAGTCGTTTCTTAAGTCTTTGATTAACCAAGCCACCAAATGTGACCCTTTTTTCTTACTCCTACCAAAGACGCAGAAGGGTACGTGAGATATGTTATAATGTCTCTGTATTATGGGCTGAGGTATATGAGTTATAAGGTTCAAAATAGAATCCCTTATGTAACTTTTGTTTCACTCGGAGTAAGCTTATAGCAATTTTTATTTTAGCCATCATCATATGGTAGAAATTGGAAAGGTACCAAGTGCTAATAACTCAATTGGTAAAGATTTCTGTTAAAAAGCTTAGAGGTCGCCGGTTCAAATAGCGCTTGGGACGAAACCATATAACATGCTTTGGTTTCGGACATGAAGGGATGTATGGGCTTTGGTTTAGAACCTCTTTGATTATTAAAAAAAAAAAAAATTGGAAAGGTAAATAATTGTTGGGATGCATAGATTTTCTTATACTTTATGAACATTTTCAAAAAAATATATCTCAATTTAAGGTTTGCTAAACCGCGATTGAAATGTTTCTCTCCAAAAACTATTACAACCTTAATTAAATTTAATTTTAAAAGAATTTGTATTTTGTGTTACATTATTAAAAACAGATTTGACTCCATGCATGCAGCTTCTACTCTTACAAACCCAAATCCAAAAGGGTATGAGTAACACTTTTGATATGTTTTCTTAAAATTATATATGCTTGGATTTGTAAAACTGAAATTAGATACATAGAAGTAATCAATGGCTCAGAAAAGATCTTTAATAAATATATATCAAAGAGAGAGCCGTACAGTTGCACTACTTTTATAATTATGTTTCAAAAACTAACTAGTTTGCCTACTCACCCAATCAAATATCCGGTCAAAGTAAATATGTGCTGAACATATAATCTCTCTTTCAACCACTTCTCTTCCTCACCTTGCAGCTTCTTTTGAGACTTGTTGTAAATCAAAAGTTTTGACTTTGTTGAATTCATTACTCATTTCTGAAGATTGAACATCTCCATTGAATTTATCATATAAACCGATTCCTTTAAAGGAGTAAGAAGATTGAACATCGCTGCTGCCACATTGTGAGCCGAAGTTGAATTCGTGTACGTTCTCATATGTGCTGATTTCACCAACTGGCTCTGCTTTTAAGGGCCTGTCTTCTTTCTTGATCTGCTTCTTCCTATAACATATGGCTTTCAGAAAACTTAGACACATTGTTTTGTTGTACGTAAGAACTCATGCACTACCAGAGACAGCTATAGAGATTTTTTGATTCTGATTGCTTGAAGATTTTTAGATAAATATTCTTCAGCATGAGAGAAAGATAAACTTAGTTTTTAGATGTTTCGTATAAAACGTATCATATTTGGCTTCTTGAGAGTTGCAAATTTGAAGTTGATGACTCCAACACACACAACTTCCTCACTTGTTAGGAAACTACCAAAGAAAAGTCTTTCCTATCTACACGCAAACGCCTCGAGCTTTTTTTGTATTAGATAAAAAATATTTATAATTTCTTGAAAATCAATTGATCCATGCATGCTACCAGGGCCAGTCCTAGAGTTTATGAGGCCTAAAGCAGATTTATAACAACATTATTTTACATTTTGACAATTTTACAGAATTACTAGAAAAAATTGTTTTAGTAATATTTTCCTAGTTGCATATGTATATTTAAATACATATTTAAATTAAATCGAATATGTATAAAAGTAGTTGACAAAATATATATATATATATATATATATATATATATATATGTATAAAAGTAACATAAATAATAAAATAGAAAATGGAAACATAAACATGTGGAATCGAAACTGGGTGACTACAAAAGATTTGTGTAAACAAGAATTGTAAACCATTAGACTAACGACAATTTCAACTATGTGGCCTTAATATTTTCTTAATATTATGTGGCCTAAAGCAAAGGCTTTACTTGCCTTATGGTAGGGCCGGCCATGCATGCTACTTATTAGATTGTGGGCTTACAACCTAAAACCAATTGGCAATGAGTGAAGAGGCCCATATATCTTATATACTAGTCATGATCCTATTCAACTTTCAATGTGGGATATATATCCCTAATACTACTAACGATGATGGTTCAATGACGACCAAAGAATATACTTGTCAAAATGGGTTGTTTACATCTATGTAGACCCGTCTAACGAGAGCCGACTTAGAGCAACATTATCAAGAGTATCTTAAATTTTAATCTTAGGATTAGTTTAATAATGAATTTGAAGAATTAAAGGTTAAGAGTTGTATTTGTGTTTTTAGTTTTGAGACAACTTTATTAGTAGGCTCTTAGTTTGGGGATCTTAGGAAAAAAATTATTTAAAAATTAAATTAAATTGAAATTTGAAATTTGAGAAAATTTTATAATTATTGCAAAATTTTAAATTTAAAACATACATAAGATACATATAAAGAAGCAACAATAAGTCATAAAACAGATACTTCAGGAATCACAAATATATTTAGATTTTGAGGGTATCAAATTCTGAAATTATGTTGGTACGTACAGTGATCAAATACTCTGTTTCTAGGCTCAAATGACGCTGTTTGAATCTCAGATACCTAATTTTGTAATATTTTAAAGAATGACCATGTTCGTTGGTATATTTACGATCCGGTATGATAAATAATTCAATTGCTTATTCTATCTATTAGGGTTCGGTTCGGATTATTTCGGTTTGGGTTATTTGGGGTTTTGGGTATTTAAATGTAGGGTTATATATAGGACTTGGTTTAGGTTATATCGGTTCATTGATATTTTTGGGTTTATAACTGTAGCATTGGATAATTAAGATAAATAAAATCTAAAAAGTAATAAACATTTTTGTATATGTAATTATATCTCGGGTATTTCAGAGAATAGAGAACCATTCAATTTTTGGTTCGGATTCGTTTTTTCGGTTTAGAAGTTTATAGCCTTGGTTATTATGATTAATTTTTCGTAGTTTTAATCAAAAATACTATTTTGGCTTCATTGTAAGAAAATTTTATATAAAAATTGGTTATCAAACAAACAAAAAGAGTTAAATATATATAATATAAATCTCATCTTATTCTGTTTCCCTTATAAAATCATTAAATTTTACACAAATATGAATTTAATTCCAAAGACTTGTGTTTTTCTTGAAAATCTTTCACTTTCTTTTTATCATAACTATATACTAATTACCAGTCATTTATCAGATAATTAATAACGAACAAGTACAAAAAGTTAAAATATGAAACAAAAGGAAAAAGTTATTACAAACCTAAAATGTAAGAAAGAAAGAAAATATAATTCGCATAACATCATTTTAGTAAATAAATAAAGATGTTAAAGTTTTACTTGGAGAAGTGGAAACCTACGACAAACCCAGCCACTTCTTGTAATAAAACCCTACACATAACACTTCTTGTCCTAACTTCAATAATCCTAGTCATGACCGCTGCTGCAACTACAAGACACACCTCATGGATGGTTGCTACGGCCATCGCCGCCGTTGAAGCTCGTTGGAACTATCCTCTCCGTTTATTCAACAAAGATGTCAAAGCTCGTCTACGTGCCATTGCTGTCTCTTCACGTTCACGTTCATCTTCTTCATCTTCTTCTGAGGTTGTCAGAGATAGTAATCATCCTTTGCCTACTAAATCTGAAGCTTCCATGGAGAGAGTTATGGGCCTGAACTGCTTCGGCCCAACTACTGTTCGATTCTAGATCTCTTTAGTGTTTAGTCGTATGTCTCTTTTTTTTTTTGGTTTCTTGGAATTTTTTTTGCATCTAATTTTCTCTGTTGATAATTCTTGTAATTCACAGAACAATTATGGGTTATTCTTGTGGTATTTTGATAATTGAGGCAAATTAAATCATTATTTTCTTCTTGACCACTTTTTTTACAAATTTTGATTATGCCCTAATCAAAATTATTATGTTTAAAAATCATTTTACATGTTATAGATTCATAAACGAAATAAAAAGAGAAATTTAATCGTAACGACAAAAAATAAATAATTAATCATACAAATCAAGCAAAAGAAAAGAAACTTTTTAACATGAATGTTATCATTTTATTAACAATTTAGATCACAAACACAAAAATACTAATTCAAAAGAAAAAAAAATTATAAGTTTAATTGGTTTATAAAGTTTTAGGCCCGAATTCTTGTCTTATATATATTGCTTATGCTTCGAACCAATTCTGATTCTTCTAAGAAGAGAGATACAATACAACAATGTAATAAGGATTTTTTTTTTTTTTTTTTTTTAGAATGATAACAATTTTATCATAACATATACATATATGTTGAAAGAATAAAAAAAAAAAATTAATGGACACAATTTCATTTTTTGCATGTGTTAGTGGCGTGAAGGCAACTCAGAGTTTGCTTCTTCTTGTACGTCTTTAGGTTGTTGCTTTGTTTCATCATTTGCCACTTTTTTGTTTATCAAAGGCTCTATCATTTGCTCCAAGTCATCCAAGTCTTGCGTCACCTTTTCCACCTACAAATTTTTGTAATTGTAAACTTTGACTTCTCTAATCACAATCATATAAGTTTCATAGAAACTTGCATTTGTCATTTATTAGAATTTCATTGATTTAGTTTGAATGATAATGTATGTACCTTGTGAAGAAAATCTTGGGTTAGATGTGCTTCATGAGCAGCAACTTCTGAAATATGTTCAAGAACCAAAGCCACTTGTTTCATTTTACTCTTCTCCGGTAGTTTCTCTGCCATTTCTTCGGCCATTTGGTCAGTCGCGGTCGCCACTTTCTCAACCATTTCTGCTACAGCCTCTACCCCTTCTACAACCAACTCTGCCTCTCCTACATTACATCATTCAAACACAAGACAAAATAAGCCTATTAAAGTACACAAAGCTATATGAGTATTAATGCATAGAAGATTGATACTATATTATTTACCTTCGATACGTTTTAGTTTCTGTATCCTTTTGTTGTTCCAGAAAGATAACACTAAGGACATCGCTGAACCTATAACCCATCTTCCCCTGACAAAAATTCCGGTCTAAGTTATTAATTGTACGTATACTACAAGAAAACATACCTATTTCCGACCACTATTTCCGACCAAATAAATCTAATCTAATCTTGATGCTAATTGGTGTGGATACCATAACCCCGCAACACATACAATTAGAGAAATCGAGATAGAGAGCGAAATAGAAGTTACCAAGAAGGAAAATTAAGCCATTGGTTCGAAGGAGAAGGTTGCATCTTGGAGGAGTCTTTGGAAACATTACTAAAGTATCTCCCAGCATTAACCGTGTTTGATAACTTGAGACCTTGTGGACACATTTGGTTATGATACTCTCTTCCGAACCGAATAATCCCCGGATATGGATTCATAGACGTCTTCCTCTCAACATTGTTGTATATTTGTAAGACCTCAGCAAGGCCCTGCCTATACACAGCAAAGCCTCCACTTTGCATTCTCCGAGTCAGATACATTTCGTATCAATCCGTTTTCTGTAATCAAGATTCTGAAATTTCATAGGTACAAATTGAAGTTTCATATATATATATGGAGTAATGTTTTTGTATGTTGTGTGTGATCTTGGTGAAGCGTATGCTTAAGATAAAAGGCTTTTACGTGTAGTAACGCTTGGGATAGAGGTTGAACACGCCAAGAAATGTGGTTTTATACAAATTTAAACAAAACCTTAAATTTTTAAAAGAAATTACTTTAAAAGACATTAGAAGTTTAGAACTAAAAGACATTAGACATTATTTTCGTAATAATTGTAAAATAGAATTTTAATTTTACTATTAAAGATATAATTAGTTTGTATCAAAAAAGTTCACAAAACTAGTTTAAAAAAGGCCCTTCATAACAAGTTTAGGCCAGGAATGTTTAATGGTTTTAAATTGGATTTTAGCTTATAGTTTCTGGTTTTTAGGTTTTGGATTTTGGTTTGAAGTTTTGGATTTTACAAAATTTTAAAAAAGAGAACAAATAGATAAATGAAAAAAAAAAAAAAAAAAAAAAAAACTCAAATACTGTATTTGGTTTTAGTGAAAATTAGTGAGGAAGTCCAAAAACCAGATTCCCTAATTTAATAACTAAAAACCAAATACTAGTATACTTTCACAAGACTCTTGATTGGGTATATTAGGTTACTTGGTTTGATGTTTAACCGGTTATTGATTGGTTTAAATGTCTGGTTTAATATTGTAAAGTCTAATTAGCATATATAAGCTAATGAGACTGAGTTTAGTCGTTAAGCTTTTGTAACAAACTTTTGATTCAGATTAATAAAAGCTTCGCTTCTCTCTTCTTCTCCGATTCATCTCTGATCTTCTTTACTCCAATGTATCGGTTTTAATATGGTACTAGAGCCATACACAGTTCTTTCTTCCGCTTTCTTGATCGGTTCTGGAGTTTGATAGAGAGATTCTTTCTCTTCATAATGAGTTTTTCAATTTCTTGTTCGATTTGGGTTTTGCGATTCATCAGTGTTGTTATTTCTGAGACACTCGCCGGAATCTTGATTTGCTTCATTGTTTTACTTGTTTCCGTCTCATTTTGAGTTTGTGGTTCTGGAATTGTTCTTGTTCTTCCTGATTTCGTCTTTCGCATCTTCGTTGAGCTCCTTGGTTTGTTCTGATAATGGCGAATTTGGTTCGACCTCCCACAGATATACCAGCTTCAGCTCCTTCTAGGTCACAAGTTGATCAATATGATAATCCGTTTTATCTGAATAACAATGATCACGCATGGTTGAATCTTGTTTCAGATCGGCTTAACACGGCTTCTGATTTCCATTCTTGGAAGCGTTCTGTAATGATGGCTTTGAATGTTCGTAATAAGATTGGTTTTATCAATGGAACGATTCTTAAACCTGATGAGCATCATCATGATTATGGAGCTTGGTCTCGTTGCAATGATATTGTTTCTACTTGGTTAATGAACTCGGTTTCTAAGAAGATAGGACAGAGTTTGCTATTCATACCTACTGCTGAGGGCATATGGAAGAATATATTAGCTCGTTTTCAGCAGGAGGATGCTCCTAGGGTGTTTGCTATAGAGCAACGATTGAGTAAGATTGAGCAAGGATCAATGGATATCTCTACTTATTATACTGAATTACAGACTCTCGGGGAAGAATATAAGAATTTTGTTGAGGTTCCAGTTTGCACTTGTGGTCGTTGTGAATGTGATGCTGTAGTGAAGTGGGAGAAACTACAGCAAAGGAGCCGTGTCACAAAGTTTCTTATGGGTCTCAATGAGAGCTATGATCAGACAAGAAGACACATTTTAATGTTGAACCCTATACCTTCTATGGAAGAGGCTTTTAATATCCTTACTCAAGATGAGAGACAGAAGATTATTAAACCTCCTACACGAATTGAAAATGCAGCTTTTCAAGCTACTGTACCTGTAGATGGTGATATGGAGACTGCCTATGTTGCAGCTTATAATACAGCTCGCTCAACACAGAAACCTATTTGTACTCACTGTGGGAAGGTGGGGCATACGGTTCAGAAGTGTTACAAGCTTATTGGTTTTCCACCTGGTTATAAGAATGTTACTTCTGGTTACAATGTCAAATCTCAGGCTGTTCAGAATCCTATTCAGAATTCACAGTTTCAACCAAGGATGCCAATGGCACAATCTCAGCCAAGGATGACTTATTTTCAACCAAGAGGACAGATGAGTCCTTATGAATCTATGCAAAAGGCTAATGCTGTAGCACAAGTTTATTCAGAAGTACCCTCAACTGTTCATGACTTGGGTTCTTATGCTCAGCCTCAATATATGCCACAGCAGTCTATGCCTTATGTTGCTTCTGATGGTTCTATTCAGAATCTACAGAACCTGTCATCTCAACAGCTTCAACAATTGATACACCAATTCAATTCTCAAGTTCAGGTTCCATCTCAGATACAAGACTCTGATGTTTAAATTGCAGCAGTTACTAGTGCTTCTAGTAATGCGATGATTACTGAGAATGGTTACATGGCTAAGACTTCTTCTTCTGGTACTGTTTCTTTTCCTTCTACTAGTCTTAAATATGAGAATAGTAATCTCACTTTCCAAAATCATACTCTTTCTTCTTTACAACAATTTTTACCAAAAGATGCTTGGATAATAGATAGTGGAGCTTCTAGTCATGTGTGCTCTGACTTAACAATGTTTAGAGAATTAACATCAGTTTCTAATGTCACTGTCACACTTCCAAATGGTACTAGGGTTCCAATCACTCATACAGGCATCATTTGCATTTCATCTGTTTTGGTTTTGCATAATGTGTTACATGTACCTGATTTCAAATTCAATTTAATAAGTGTTAGTTGTTTAGTTAAAACTTTGTCATGTTCTGCTCATTTTTTTCATGATTGTTGTTTGATTCAGGAACGTTCTCAGGGCTTGATGATTGGGAGGGGTAAAAACTACAACAATCTTTACATTCTTGATACTAAGAAGCAATCCCTCTCACCATCTCTTCCTGTGGTCTGTTCTTTGTCTGGTTCAAAGTTGGATGATGGTTTTCTTTTGCATGAACGTCTTGGGCATCCTTCACCAAATGTTTTACAAAAACTTGTTAGTGTCATTCCTTCTCTGAAAAATGTTTCTTCTTCTGTTTTTTAGTGTAAAATCTGTCCTTTAGCAAAACAAAAGAGATTAGCTTTTCTATCTCATAATAATCTAGCTTTACATCCTTTTGATTTAGTTCACATTGATATTTGGGGTCCTTTTAGTACTGAATCTATTGAAGGTTTTAGGTATTTCTTTACTTTGGTTGATGATTGTACTCGTGTAACATGGGTTTATATGCTAAGAAATAAAAGTGATGTTTCAAAGATTTTTCCTGTTTTCCTTAAAATGATTTCTACACAGTATAACACCACTGTCAAAGCTATAAGATCTGATAATGCCCCTGAATTAGCTTTTACTGAACTTTTACAAGAATATGGAATGTTACACTATTTTTCTTGTGCTTATACACCTCAACAGAACTCTGTAGTAGAGAGAAAACATCAACACTTATTAAATGTGGCTAGATCTTTACTATATCAATCAAATATACCTTTGCAGTATTGGATTGATTGTGTTAATACATCAGTTTTCTTAATAAACCGATTACCTTCTCCTTTGTTAAATGATAAGTCACCTTTTGAACTTTTACTTAACAAGAAACCTGATTACTCTCTGATAAAGAACTTTGGTTGCTTATGTTTTGCTTCTACCAATTCACATGATAGGAATAAGTTTTCACCTCGTGCTACTCCATCTGTTTTTCTAGGCTACCCCTCTGGTTACAAAGGATACAAAGTTTTAGATTTAGAATCTCATTCTGTTTCGATTTCTAGAAATGTCATTTTTCATATGAATTCTTTTCCTTTTAAGACTAGTGACTTGTTAGCTCAATCTGTTGACATGTTTCCAAATTCTATATTGCCTTTACCTGTTCCTTTACATTTTGTGGAAACATTTCCTATAGATGATATTACACCTTCTGGAATTACTGCATATGCACCTGCACCTGCATCATCTGATTCTACTCTGCATATAGTTCATCCTAGTAATTCTAGTACCATTAATACTAATACAGGGACACAAGACACTGATGTTAATCCAATGAATATTGCTAGACCTAAGCGTGCTACTAAAGCACCTAGCTATCTGACTGAGTATCATTGTTCACTTGTCCCTTTCCTTTCTTCTCTCCCACCTACAGAAAATACTATTACTCCTATACTAAATACTATAACCTCTACAGCAAATACTAAACCTCATACTACTCCTTATCCTTTGACATCTTATATTTCTTTTGATAAACTTTCTCCTACATATAATTCCTATATCTGTTCTTATAGCTTAGAAACAGAGCCTAAGAATTTTAGTCAGGCCATGAAATCCGAAAAATGGACAAAGGCTGCAAATGATGAACTTCAGGCTTTAGAACAGAACCATACTTGGGATATTGAGTCACTACCAGATGGAAAGAATGTTGTAGGCTGTAAATGGGTATTTACTATCAAATACAACCCTGATGGTACTGTGGAAAGATACAAGGCTAGGTTAGTAGCACATGGCTTTACACAACAAGAAGGACTGGATTTTCTAGATACCTTCTCTCCTGTTGCTAAACTAACCAGTGTTAGATATATTCTTGCTCTTGCTGCTACTAAAGGGTGGAGTCTTACACAAATGGATGTATCTAATGCTTTCTTACATTGTGATTTAGATGAAGAAATCTACATGAGTTTACCACAGGGATATGCACCAAAAGATAATGCACTGCCTTCAAATCCGGTATGTCGTTTACGAAAATCTTTGTATGGATTGAAGCAAGCGTCACGCCAATGGTATAAACAATTCTCATCAGTTCTTTTGGGTGCAAACTACATACAATCGCATGCTGATAATACTCTGTTCGTCAAGCTCATTCCTGGTTCTTTCATTGCGGTTTTAGTATATGTTGATGATATTATGATTGCAAGTGATAATGAAGCTGCAGTTGAGAGTTTGAAGACTTTGTTGAG